AAAAACTAAGGTTGTTAGCGACCGTTTATTAACCGGTACCCACGGTTTTCGGTCATCACCGGTTTTCGATCCACGGTTTTTGGTTGCGGTTAATTCGCCTAAAACACCGGTTAACGGTTCCGATTCACCGTCCGCCAACAACCCTATTAAAAACTCTAAAATAAGCATTTTTCAATTATTTATAAATATTATATTTTTAATCTAAATAATTTAGATAATTAAATATTTAAAATAAATTTTAAAAATGACAAAGGTTATTTTTGTATTTTTTCTTTTGGCATTTTTGACTCTTGCGACTGCGGAGGTGAATTTATAATTAAATAAATTTTCTATATAAAATTAGAAGGTTAAACATCTAATCGGTTCGGATTGTCCAAATATACATGATCCTAATCTTTTTGTCAAATGCCAAAATGCACGATATATGTACGACTGTATTGCTAAAAATTGTAAATCATGCTGCAAGGTTCATAACGGAAATTAAATTAAAGAAATGATAAAAATGGGAAGAATTTTAAATTTAATTTAAATACACACATATTTTATTAAATCAAATATTTAATTGAAAATATATTTAAAATTATTGGGAATAAACTGATATTTGGGAAAGTATAGCTAAAAATCATGTTTTTCGTACTAAAAAGATGCGACAATACAGGATATCATTAGAAAAGTGCTCAACATGATCAGCAAAACATTTTTTCTAATTTTCAGACCTCTTAAAATCGAAAATATAGGGGGACCAAGCCGATTTTCGGGGTCAAAAAATATAAATATGGAAATAGTACTCGTCGAGCTGAGTCGAATGACATCAGAATCAGCTTGATTTTATCTATTGCCTTTGCCTTCAATGCAAAAATGTGAAATAACCGGAAAATACAGAAATTTAAATCTTAACTATCTATGTACCTATTCTATTTTTTTATAATATTTTTCAACAAAATTTCAGAATAGGAGTATCAAATACGTCGGGAATTATGTTCCTTAATAAATCTGAATTATGTTCCTTAATTATAATGAAATTGAAGGTTGTCATCCCTGTTACATCCTTTTATATTGAAGAAAATTTTATTTTAATTCTTATTTAAAAATATAAATTATTAAATTACTAAATATACATCAGGGCTGGACGTAATCAAAGAATAAAAAGCGAAATACTAAATGCGAAACATTTCGCGCCAAAAATGCGAAAGTCGAAATAAGCCCAGCCCTGATATATGTTCATTATTCATTCAATTAAAAAATTCTTACTATTAATAAAAATTGTTTTATTAAAATTTTTATTCAAAAAATTAAATAATTAAATTACTATACTTAGTGTTAGTACATTCATTAATTTAATATAAATTTTCTTTTATTTCTTTGTTCATATTTTTACATTTAATAAGATAATTTACACGCAAGGAGGAATAACCAATGTTCCCCTAAATCCTCGGCAAGGAGTTTCACATTTCGGTTTGAAATCATGATCTTGGCAATTTTTACAATCAGAGCAGCCAGCAGTACAGGGAGGGCCACAAAGTTTGTTGAAACAATCCTGGCAACTCTAAAAGGAATTTTTTTGAAATTTAAATTTTATTCTTGTTGTTAGCTATTAAAAAATAAAAAAGGTCTAATAATTTAATTTTTTAAAAATAATTCTTTAATTTTCCTTTTAACTGTATGGAAGCTACATTTAACTATGTTTTCTAAATTATTTTGAACATCCCTATTTTAGAAAAAATAATTCCTTCAAGCTTCTCCTTACCTCAGCAATGGCATATTCCGGCATTAACATAGCAAGCAAGAAAATTGAATAAATAGCCAAAAAATAAATAAATTTTTGAGAGGGCATTTTTAAATATTTTTTAAATTAAAATTTTATTTTTGTTGTTAATTTAACCATAATTTCCCTGCCTTTTATAGGTACAAAATTTCGATGGCAATAACAATTTTTAAAAGCTTATTTGTCAAAACAAACTTTTTATAACTTTAATATTTTCTATAAAAAAATAAATTTTATAAAATGATGATGGCCACCCAAATTTTAATCTTTAAAAGTACCTTACTAATTTTTAATAAAAATAAATATTTATTTTTGTCAACACATGTTCATACTGATTTTTAAAGATTTAAATATTAAAAATATTAAATTCTCGTTAAAATTAGTAAGGTATTTAAAAATAATAAAATAATTTTTAATAAATAATAAATTAAAAAAAAGTTTGTTTTGACAAATAAGCTTTTAAAAATTGTTATTGTCATCGAAATTTTGTACCTATAAAAGGCTGGGTATTGCGGTTAAATTAACAACAAAAATAAAATTTAATTTAAAAAATATTTAAAAATGGCCTCTCAAAAATTTATGAGCTTTTTGGCTATTTCTTCAATTTTCTTGCTTGTTTCGTTAATGCCGGAATATGCCACTGCTGAGGTAAGGCTATCAATAAGTATATAAAATATAAAAACAATGAAGTCGAAAACTGTCTTCTTGACTTTTATCTCAAACATTGCTTTTAACAGAAACTGTGTGGATTTAATTTTAAATATCTAATTATATAATTGAGAAGGGTTTGTGTGTTTGTTTGTCCGTCTGTCTATCCTTTTATAGACAAGTGGGCTTTTATAGTAAAATGATTTGGGGGAGTGAAGAAAAGGGGGTTTTTATAGTAAAGCGTTGCCAGTTGAAAAAGGTTGAAAGGGTAAGCAGATAGTATAAAAGCAGGGTATTTTGTTCATTCTTCAACTGCTTTCAACACATCTCAACTTTACTGTGCTCTGTTCTACGTCAACGTTAGCTGGAGTCCTGTGTCCTCTTGAGTGCTGGGCGTCAACGTTCATTTGTCAAGTGCTAGACGTCAACGTTCATGTGTCAAGTGCCAGGCGTCAACGTTCATGTGTCAAGTGCTAGACGTTCAACGTTCATTTGTCAAGTGCTATCTGTCAACGTCACTTGAAGTGCCAGGCGTCAACGTTCATGTGTCAAGTGCTAGACGTCAACGTTCATTGTGTCAAGTGCTAGACGTTCATGTGTCAAGTGATAGCTGTCAACGTCACTTGAAATGCCAGGCGTCAACGTTCATTTGTCAAGTGCCAGGCGTCAACGTTCATGTGTCAAGTGCTAGACGTTCAACGTTCATGTGTCAAGTGCTAGCTGTCAACGTCACTTGAAGTGCCAGGCGTCAACGTTCATTTGTCAAGTGCCAGGCGTCAACGTTCATTTGTCAAGTGCTAGACGTTCAACGTCACTTGAAGTGCCAGGCGTCAACGTTCATTTGTCAAGTGCCAGGCGTCAACGTTCATGTGTCAAGTGCTAGACGTTCAACGTTCATTTGTCAAGTGCTATCTGTCAACGTCACTTGAAGTGCCAGGCGTCAACGTTCATGTGTCAAGTGCTAGACGTCAACGTTCATTGTGTCAAGTGCTAGACGTCAACGTTCATGTGTCAAGTGCTAGACGTCAACGTTCATGTGTCAAGTGCTAGCTGTCAATGTCACCTGAAGCCAGGCGTCAACGTTCATTTGTCAAGTGCCAGGCGTCAACGTTCATGTGTCAAGTGCTAGACGTCAACGTTCATGTGTCAAGTGCTAGCTGTCAATGTCACCTGAAGCCAGGCGTCAACGTTCATTTGTCAAGTGCCAGGCGTCAACGTTCATGTGTCAAGTGCTAGACGTTCAACGTCACTTGAAGTGCCAGGCGTCAGCGTTCATTTGTCAAGTGCTAGACGTCAACGTTCATGTGTCAAGCGCTAGCTGTCAATGTCACCTGAAGCCAGGCGTCAACGTTCATTTGTCAAGTGCCAGGCGTCAACGTTCATGTGTCAAGTGCTAGACGTCAACGTTCATTTGAAGTGCTAGGCGTCAAATTTCAGTCGAATATTGAAACCGGGAATTGTGAGAAGGCGGAATATTGAAGAAGGGGGAATTGTGAAGCAGGTGGAATATTTAAGCAGGGAAATTGTAACGCAGGTCGAATATTGAAACAGGTGCAATTGTGAAGTAGGCGGTATTGTGAGAGGCAAGGGGAATTTAAAGCAGACGGAATATTAAAACAAGATGAATTGTAAAGCAGGAGAAATATTGAAACAGGAGAATTGTGAAGCAGGCGGAATATTGAAGCAGGAGAATGAAGGCTGATGTGAAGCGGAGAATTGTAGAGCAGGCGGTATTGTGAGACAATGGGAATTGAGAAGTAGGCGGAATATTGAAACAGAGGGAATTGTGAAGCAGGCGAAATTGTGAGGAGAAAAAAGGGTAAGCGAGATGGGCCGGCCAAAGGCTTTTGAATCGGATCTTGAGTTGAATTGTTTTGTTATGCTAGCGGAGTCACACGAGCGCCTGTGTGTACCCTATCAGGTGCGCCTATTAGATGCTTTGCTTTGTTAAATGTTTTGGTAATAAGGTATTGTTTTAATGCTGGTCAATGTTTTGACTATCGGGTTTTTCTGATTATGATTGGATTAGGGCCAATTTTGAGGTTGTGATTTGGAGTTTGTTTTTTGGTTTGTTTTGTTTTTGCTAGCGGGGTGGGGCGGCCGAAGGCCGACCAACTCCGCTAGTAAACAAAAATTACCAAATTATTTTAAAATTTAATTAAAGACTAAACTTTAGACATTTAAATTTACATAATTAATTTAAAATTTTTGTTATTAAATTATTATCCCTTTTCTACATTTTATCTTTTAATTGCTAACAACAAGATTAAAAATCAAATTTCAAAAAATTCTTTTAGAGTTGCCAGGATTGTTTCAACAAACTTTGTGGCCCTCCCTGTACTGCTGGCTGCTCTGATTGTAAAAATTGTCAAGAGCATGATTTTAAACCGAAATGTGAAACTCCTTGCCGAGGATTTAGGGGAACATTGGTTATTCCTCCTTGCGTGTAAATTATTATTAAATGGAAAAATATGAACAAAGAAATAAAAGAAAATTTATATTAAATTAATGAATGTACTAACACTAAGTATAGTAATTTAATTATTTAATATTTTAAATAAAAATTTTAATAGAATAATTCTTTGTTTTTATTAATAGGAAGAATTTTTTACTAAGTTTTTTATTCCTTCTCCTCTACTTTTTCTTCGTTCTTATCTTCAGCACTCGCCTGTTCTTCTTTGGTTTCGCCTTTATTTATTGATGCAGAATCCTCCACCGTCTTTGCGGTTGTCTCTATCTTCTCTTTTGCTTTATTATCGTCTTCAGCTGCTTCATCCTTCTTTTGCTCTTCTCCTTTGACATCTTCCTTCTTTTCTTCTTTTACTTCTTCATCTTCAATTTTTTGTGCTTCTCCGCTGGCATTATTATCTTCTCCTTTGATATCTTCCTTCTCTTGATCCTCTCCTGTGACATCTCCCTTAGTCCCATCACCTGCCTCATCATCCTCCTCGTCTTTCTCCTCCCTAATGACGGAGAAGTAAATGACAATTCCAATCCCAATAACAGCCAGAATAATAACGATAATCATAACAAAAAACAGAAAGAATGAAGAGCCTTTGGAAGTTATTGTTGTAGCCATTGTTGTTGTAGCTTTTGTAATCGTAGTTGTTAAAGAGGATACAGTTGTCAAAGTTTTAGTTAAGGTTTTAGTTGTCTTCTTAGACGTTGAGATTGTTCTATCATTTTTGCTAGTAGGAGATGACGTTGTAGATGCTTCTTCTGTATTAGTTGGACCCTGAGTTGTTTTCGACGTTGAAGTGATAGAAGATGTCGTAGTCAACAATTTGTAGTTATCTTTAGACTGAAGAGAATATTCTCATCAATTGAATAAAAATTAAAATTATCGCTTACAAATATGATCCTCATATCATCGCATTTTGGCCCTTCTGGGTGTTCTCTTCCCACAACATAATCGGGTAATCCAGTACGAATATTTTTCATGATTCTCCTTCGCGATGCCTTTTGTGGAAGAAGATGGAAAACCAACAAACGCTTCATTGTAGGCTCTGGACTCGTCCCAACAATTTCCCATGTTGAGGGGGAAAGAATGTTTTCTTTGGGGTTATTCATGCAGATATTAGATGGTTGAGAATTTCTGTGTAACATTAAGTCTTTGATATGGAATTTAGGGACTTTTTGATGGATGTATGTTTGGTTAAAGTAAACTTCTGTACTGCTCAAGTTCCATTCTTTACGAATATAGTAAACCAATTTCGTACCAACTAAAATACGTAAATTATGCATAATTTAATTAGAAGCGGATATTTACTTGGATTTATATAAAGCACAGTATTGTCTCCTCCTTGATCATCATATTCCCAACTAACTTCTAGACCTGTTTTTTTGACACAACCCTCTAAACAACTATGGCATGAACGATTAGCAAAAAGCGGGCCGTTGTGGAATTTTTTGACTTCCTCATTTGTCAGACTGTAAGCAAAAGGTAGTCTACAAAATAATTAAATTAGCGTTCAAATTTTACTGCTTTAAGCTTCTTACACATTCGAATTGATGTCACTCCCATTCAAACAATCATAAAGCCCTCTTCGATTATACATACCAGTCCAGAAAACAATCTCGTCCTTCCTATCGGTTAGAAGATCCACCGTACACCCTTTATCCCTCATGGTCCCTTGATTTCTGTAGTGGAGAACGCTGTGAATTTATTCAAAATATAGAATTTTATATAAAAATTACAACTCACATATTCCCCTCATTAAAATCAACATCACATGCATCAGCAGAACTCGCCATGTACTGCTCAACATTTTCTTTTTTGGCAACCACAGATCCTTTAGCAAGTAACACCTTTCCATCTTGAAGAATGTGATCACCAAGGCCAACTTTGAACGAGGGTTTACTTGTAGAAATCTTAGTTGTTTCTTGTCGATCATTGCCTCTGTTGGAGGAGGTTGTTATTACGGAGGTACTTCCATCTGTTGGATTTTTTGTTGCCGGAGTGGTTTTTTGAGGTACTGGAGTGAACAGCAAGCTGTAATTCTTCCTAGACTGAAAACAATAATGTTAGACCAATTGAAGCAATTCACTTACAAATATGATCGTCATCTCATCGCATTTTGGCCCTTCTAGATGATCTTTTGTCACAACATATTCCGGAAATCCTGTACCCTTATTTATCATCAACATTCTCTTTCGCGATGCTTTTTGTGGAAGAAGATGGAAAACCAACAAACGATTCATTGTAGGCTCTGGACTCGTCCCAACAATTTCCCATGTTGAGGGCGAAAGAATGTTCTCATTGGGGTTATCGATGCACATGGATGGCTCAGTAAACATAGTGTCTATCTCTTTACTTGAAAATCTGATGTGAAATTTTGGATATGTTTGGTTGATTATTAAACTATATTTCCATTTTACATATGTTCTACTCATGTCCAATTCTTTGCCATCAAAATAGATCAGTTTTGTGGCAACTAGAATAAGCAAGGTTAATAGTGTTAATTAGGCACGGATATTTTACTTGGATTTGCATTAAACACAGCATATTCTATCTCTCGAACATCATTATATTCCCATCTGACTTCTAGACCTGTCTGTTTGACACAACCCTCTAAACAACTAGGGCAATACTGATTAGCAAAAATCGGGCCGTTGTGAAATTTTTTGACTTCCTCATTTGTCAGACTGTAAGCAAAAGGCAGTCTACAAAATTGATAATTTTATTAGCGTGCAACTTTATTAAAGTTCAAACTTACACATTAGAATTGATGGTATCTCCTCTAAGACAAGTACCAAGCCCTGCACTATTATTCAAACCAGAATTTAAAACAATCTCGTCCACAATATTGGTTAGAAGATCCACCGTACAACCATTATCCTTTATCGTCCCTTGATTCATGTAGAGGAGAAGGCTGTAAAGAGAAGGAATATAATAAGTAAATAGTTCTATGTAACACTCACATATTCCCCTCCTTATCAAAAGCAATATCACAAGCATCGTCAGAAATCGTCATGTTCTGTTCCATGTCTTGTTTATTAACAACCCTCGAGCCTTCGGCAAGCGTCACCTTTCCATCTCGCAGGATGTGATTCCCTAGGCCAACATAGTTTGCTTCTGTGATGTTTAACTGGCCAAGTAATTGTAGAACAACAATGGAGAGAGCCGCGATGTTTGCTAATATTGTTTGTTTTTTGTTTGATTTGTTCTTGTTGAAGATAGAAAACCTCATTGTTGGTTAACGGTTTTCGGTGATTGTATCGGATAAGATTTTATGATGGGGTGATTATGTACAGTATATATCCGGCTTTTATAGTACTTTTTTCTGTTACTGGGGCTTTGGTTTTTAAGTTGTTTTTAGATATAATCTGTTGATATAATCCTCCTTTATTTTTGAGTACCTCAACTAAACGATTTTTTGTACTATTTAATAAATTTTTAAATAAATCCTGTGAAATCATTGTCATTGCTTCTTTAAATTGTTCTACATTTGAGAATTTCCTTGAATAGTTATAAACGCTACACCCGAGTGATCCCGAGAGACACTCCCCAGAGATCTCAATTGGATTGAGAGCTGGTGAGAGAGCCGGCAAGTCTAAAAAGGAGGTTTTTCCCATTATCCTTATAGGCTATAATTTGATCGTTTAGCTTGGGTCCCTTTAGCATAATAAAGTTGTGGTTACCATTAATTTCTTCATTGCATCAAGTCTAAGTACAGTAATTTTTAAAAATATTTATTTTTAATAATTTCCTTAGTATACTTTTTTTGATTATAAAAATAACTTCCTTTAAAAAATAATACATAGTTTTAAATAATTATTTTAGTTTAAATAATAGTTTAAATAATTACTCTATGTATTATTTATTAAATAATTAATAATTACTCTATTATTTACTCCAAATTACTTTTAAAATTATCGGAAAGCTTATTATATACGTCAATAAATTTTAAAAATCCTATGGGATTAAAATAAATAATTTATATAAACTATTATGTTGCGCCGGTGGGACAAAACAAGACTACATAAGCTTTAACGTCTATGTTAAGATTTAAATTACCAACAATAACTATCAAAATTTAATTACCGAACAATAACTATAAAAATGGGAAGAAAATTAAATAAAGATGCACTTTATTAAAAAAATTTAAAAGACAAAATTTCCCTAAAAATTTTCTCTAAAAATTTTTAAAATTTAAAATATGAATGTATCAACAGAATCTTTTAAAGGAGAGAAGGGAGATTATCTCTTTTTTTCGACAAAAGGTATGTAATTGGAAATCTTTTATTTTATTAGACTTATAATTAAGTAACTAATTGAATGAGACCCTTAAATAGAGCATTACTTTGTACTTATTAAGGCTCGATTAGATTTATCTTATATCGAGTTCTATTGTTCTAAGGACTGAATTCTATTTTATTTTTTATTTATTAGAAGTTAGGTAATTGGCTTGGCTAAATCTAATAGTGAGGAGAAGGGTTATTATTTAAGCATTTGTATTTATGCAGGTATTTGTGAATAAAAATATTAGAGATAAAGGTTGGAAACAGTGCTAGGAAATGTCAGATTTGCTTGTATAGTACCAATTACGGGATGCTAGTAGGAGAGTCCGATTTAGGTACGAGATTCCACGAATTTGTCGAGCATTGATGTGAAAGGAATGATAATTTAGGGCCAGTGCTTTGAAGCTCGTACCAAAATGCGTACTCGTACTCGTACTTCGTACTCGTACCTGGTACGAGATAAGGGTAGTAAAATAAGGGTAGTAAGAGGTACGAGTACGAGGCCAAAAAAAGAGGTGGTACGATGTACGAGTGCGAGCAAAATCGAAATTTTGAAACACTGTTTAGGGCTCTTTTAATAATCAAGAAAGATCCTATAATCAAAAAGTATTTGAAAATATTTTTAAAATTACTTTCAAAAATATTTAAAGTAAACGATAATACCTACTTAATAAGTTAAAGATATTTTTCAGATCCAATAAGAGCTGCTTATGCTTATGTAAGTTCTTTTGTTTTTGTTTTTGGATTTCTGATGAATTCATTGTTAATTTACTTGATAAAAACAAAGACGGTAGCTGGAATGGAAATTTATAAAAAATTGCTTTATATTAGTTGTTTTATGGATTTGACAGTCTCTTTTTGGAATTTTATTGTCCAACCGGTATGAATTTTAAGTCAGTAAATATATTTAAGATTCGGATTCTTCGGACTATCCAAGATTCAGAAGATTCGTATCGTCATACTTTTATTTGTCAGAGTTGCTGGGTCTTGCAAATTTCTAGATATCCGTAACTAAAAGTAAGAAGTAATAGGTAGATTTATTGGGATATCCACATAAAATCGGACATTCTACAAAATAAAATATAAATTTATATGCTACAGATTCCTTGTAACTCTAGTGGTTATCGTATAATGTTAATGAATGGTTTATTTCGAAAGTCATCACAACCTATTCGTTATGCCGTTTACCTCATTTGGGTTCAATTTTACGTAAGAGAGAAAAGTTTTAGGCCATAGTTTTATTTAATTTTTAGCTCATATTCTTACTTACTACAATGTCTCAATACGTCTATCGCTTTTTTATCTTATGTCGAAATGGAGTATTTTCTGCTAAAATTATCCTACCCTTAATTATCGGCGAAACATGTTTATTTTTTACACACGCATTTTTAATCACCTGGGCTGACTATCCACGGGAAGAACTTTTTTATAAAATGAATGAGATACGAATAAAAATTTTTGAAGAATCAGGGATATCTGATATTGAATTTATTTCTTTTGTTCATGCGGTAATCTTTTAAAAACCAAAAAAATCGTATATAATTCCAAGAGTAATAGTATAATACCAATAAAATACAGTACGAAACTCATCTAAATTTTTCCGAGTCCAAAAACATAGAGTTAAATACCTTACAGATTATGTGACTAGACAGTAAGGATGGCGATTCCTGGGAAATCTCCGGATATCCGGAACTGATATACAAACTCTCTTGTCCATGTCTTTATGTCCACTACTGTATCTATTTATAATTTTAAAAAATTGAAGAGAAACTACCGTTGGTTGATGCATCTTACGGCAATGCTTTTCTTATTCCCCGGATTTTATTTAATAGTTGGCATTTGCTTTTTTAAAATTAAAAAGGCAATTAGAGAAATGAATGTCTTAAAATTAAAAGAACATAACAAACAAGTTTCGGCCGCTCTTCTTTTTCAGGTAATTTTTTAAACAAAAAATCTTGGATGAAACATTGTCCAGTGCTCGTGAGATATGGCTCCTGGAGCTAGTTCTGAAACTGGCTCCGGAACCTGCCTCGCCGTAGACAGTGCCAAAATTTGAAAAAAGTAGAGTCTATCACAAAAGCAATCTTATAATTAAGGCATTGCTTCCATCATTCGAAGTTATTGGCTGGACTATCCAAGTATTTGGCCCAGTATTTATTACCGGACATTCTATCATGTACACAGTTGCTACAGACATCCCAGTAACTTTAATCTCAGCTTTGAACCCGATAGGAACAATTTTTCTTGTTGCTCCGTATCGGTAAATATTTTTTTCATTAGCAAATTATTAGTATAACAAAATATTAATTAAATTCTCTCCGATCATTTAAATTTATTTTAACTAAATAATTTTGAGACGTGCTGTTTTTCGTTATTTTGGAATTACCAAAGCCCAATCAACAGTTATTCGTATTCGCACAACAATTCAAACAACAGTTCGTCGTTACGGGACAGCTAGTATACACCCGATTGGACGTTCTGGAAATTAAACATTTAAATAAAGCCGAAAGAAAAATTAAAAAGAAAAGATGATTAACAGAAAAACATAAAATTTAATTAAAATACATAACATAATTTTCTATTGACTATTAAATGACCTTTGTTTGAGTTATTCTGAGTCTCAGTATGATTAAATAATCCATTCCAGAGTTACGTCATCATAATTTGTTATTAAAAAATATTTAAATTAATTTAAAAAATACATATAAAGAGAAATGATCATTGATAAATGTGATGAAGTATGAAAGCAAAATTTGGTTAGTTAATAATGTCTTGGTTTAGAGGTCAAGATCGGCAAAATATACGAATATCAGTATGATTAAATAAAATTTATTCATTAAAAATTAATTTAAAAACTCAACATCAGATCTACTGTAAATAAAATTTTGATTATTATTACTATTTATCCTTTCATTATTAATATTTTCAAAATCTTCTTTAATTTCCCTATTTTCATTTTCATTTTTTAATCTTCCAATAACATATTTTAACAATACAATAGATGCCCTGACATTATTCGGGTGTACATCTTCAAAAACGGATGTAGCATCCATTCCAGAGTTACGTCGTAATAGAAATTTTTTTCGTTATCGTAATTCTTATCAAAAAAAAATAGTTAAATTAATTTAAAAAATCAAAAACAAAAGAAATCGAATGCATTTATTAATAATTAAAGTCCTCTTAATTCTCTAATATTACTTCAAATCCCAATCAAGAGTAATAATGGTATATCGATGATTTTATATCTAGGGATCTGTTGTGATTAAGGATAATTCGAAAAAATTAAGGGATCAAAGGGTTAAATTGGTGGGGTAGGGATTTGGTAGTAACCTCGATATTCGGTAGTGACCTCGATAACTCTGTTATCACCAAATCCATTCATACTTACTCTTAATCTCTCTATACCCTTCCATAGGAAGGATATAGAGAGATTAGGAGTCTATATCTTTCCATCTCTAGTTTATATCCTTGTATATCCTTCTATATAGAGTCTATATCCTTCCATCTATATCCTTCCATTCAGCGCCGCATTCGAAAATTTTGAAAATAAAAATTTCGGTTTAGGTTCCGGATATCCGGAAATTTCCCAAGAACCGCCATCCTTAGCCCTATCCTTAAACACTTGGATTTATTTTAATAATTAATAATTTGAAATGCATGAACACATTTAATTACAAAAGTTTTATTTAAAAATAACCAAATCTTCCAGATAAAAGTAATCTACAAACGACGATTTACAAAATTCAAACTTTCTCAAATGTTAGGTTGCAACTCCATTTTTTGGAAATTTCAATTAGGATATTATAATAGGTTTGAAATTAGTATTTGAAATCGTTAAATTTCCTTCAGTGTCAAATGCAAAATTTTTAAGTTTAAGAAGACAAGAAGTCGGAATTCCCGGTTGATGAATTTCATTTTAAATAATTTCTTTTCTTGATTCAAACCGACAATAAGTCAATGTACTAGTGTTAGTCACGAGACGATATTTTTCGAGATATCGCGAGATTTTTTTCGATAATCTCGATCTCGATCTCGAAAAATCGCAAATGACTAAAACTACAATGTACTTTATTTCTAAAATATTTTTAATAATTTCCTTAGTTTTTTTAATAATTAAAGATTTCAATATAATATTTTTATTAAGTTCCTTATTATAAATAATTTTAAAGAATAATAGTTTTTAAATAATTATTTTTAATTGCTTCTAAATTCTTTTACAATTATTCGCGTGCTTATATCTGCGTAAATAATTTTTAAATATTAAAATGGGATTAAAATAAATTTTTTTGTTTGTATCATATTGTGTCGAACCAAGGTTAAGCCACCAAAGTTAAGCCACCAAATGTCTAGATTAAGATACATAATTACTTAGCTATAGCTATAAAAATGTAAAGAAAAATAAACGAAGTTTGCACTTTTCTTATAATTATTTTTTATAAATAATTTTTTTTTAATTTGTCGAATTTAAAATATGAATGCAACAACAATTTTTGAAGGAGAAAGCGGAGATTATCTCTTTTTCTCGACAAAGGGTATATTTGAATTGGAATCTTTTTAATTTTATTAGAATAACGGGTTACACTCCAATGTACCGCGAGGCCAACGTACCGCAGAGCTATAACTTCGTTCAAAATCGTCAAATCCGGGACGCCCTAATAAGTTTCGATTTAGCTCATCGAGATGCATAAAACCATACCAAGGCGTCCTGATTTGACTATTTTAACAAAGTTATGGCTAGAGCTGTGAATTTTATGCATTAAAAAATGCAAAATATGCACTATAATATGCATAAAAAATTGCCGAAATATGCACAAAAATATGCATAAAACCCAAAATATCCACGAAAACATGCATTAAAAATACAATTTATACCTAGAAATTTTACATTTTCTTAGTCAAAAACATTCAAACACCTATTTTTATTAAGATTAATCCCAGTTTACATGTATTGTTCAATAAATTGAGTATTTTTATTCTGTTGGATATTTTGAGATTTGGCGGTGTGGCATTTTGGGGTGGGACATTTTTGGGTCCCGCCCAATAAACGAAAAATTTTTTTTACAAAATTTTTTATAAATTTTCACTTTTTGGCAGGATTTTAGGCAATTTTTGCGATATTTTCCCCAAGTAAAATATGCATTATGCATCAAAGCCTGTGTCGCGAAGCGACTAAAGATGAGGAAAATAAAATAAAAATATTTTTATAATTTTAATTTCTAAATTAATCATCATTTAATGCAAATTCCTTTTTCGGACTTTTACCTTCTAAAAAACCATTTTTTGCTGTAAACATCTATTCAAAACCTATTTACATTTTTTGCTCTTTTGTTCTAAAACTTAACTTAATTTTCCACTCCTTTGTATTATTCAAAATATGTGCATTTATATTTTATCGCTCCTATTATGCCTTTAATGATCGAAAATATTTTCTGTTTACCCGCCTATTTTTCTGGCCTATATAATCTCCCCTTCCAAACCCCTATTAGCTTCTTTCTGTGTTTAGCTTCTGTTCTAGCTTTCATTCTGGGGTTTGGCGAGCTTCTCAATAAAACTTAGGCTAGAATTTGCTTGGTAGAAAACCTAGACTGAGATCTGAGCTCTCCCTCCACATATTTTTTGGTGCAACGGCCGGGAACCAGGCCGCCTACAATTTGCTACTTGTGTTCTAAATTTGGTTGGGAAGTGCTAGGCAAATGTCCGGAAGAATTAGACGAAACCTGAACGCTGCCTTGAAAACCATTCAAGAGCATACTGCCGAGGCCAATCGAATTATTGCTGAGGAAAATGATGAGGATACTCGCAGAAAGCTGAAGCTGGAAAAAGCCCATATTGAGACCACTATTGGAAGGATTGAGGAATTGGATGCCCAATGGAGTGATTATGTGACAAGCTTAGAAGGGCCGCAAAAAATGGCTGAGGAGTCGCTATATCTAGATTTTCCGCCCCTATGTGCTGGTATGGAAAGGGAGGAAGGGCAGGAAGTACCGTTAGCTCAACGTCATTTCGTGGATCAATGCGAATTTGCCCGTCAAGTTGTTGTGCTAATTGAACAAACCATGGAGGATCTTGGCCAGTCTAGAAGCGGTTCACGTCAATCTGCAATGAGCGAAGTGTCAGATAACCGAACCAATGACCTTGGAAACCAAAATCGGAGGGCACAAGGAAATCAAAGGCCGCAGCCGCCTACAGTACAGTTGCAACAGCCCTTTATGGCGCAACCACGTGCGAAGCTCCCTCCCTTGCATTTACCTCATTTTTCGGGAGAAACCAGAGACTGGCCTACCTTTTGGCAACTTTTCGAGTCAACTGTGGACAATGAGCCCAGCTATGACAATGTTGTAAAAATGAGTTATTTGCTCTCTCTGTTGGACAGGCCCGTACAGAATGTGGTGGCCGGATACTTACCTACGAATGAAAACTATCCACGCGTGGTAAAGCTGCTGAAGTCTCGGTATGGTGACAAACGAGCACTCAAGGAGTCGTTACAGTCAGAGCTGTACCATCTACCCCATGCTAATGATTCAGTTATGGGATTGCGAAAATTTTTGGACATAATTGAAAGAGTATGCCGACAATTGACGGATTACGGAATTAGCGATGATTCTTGGATAGTTTTCACTATAAAAGAAAAATTGCCCAGAGGAATACTTGCCAAACTGATAGAGAAGGAACGAGTAGCCGAACAAACCTGGAATGTCGAAAAGTGGAGGAAAGAGCTTGACCTACTTATTTCAGTCAAAGAAGAGGTCCAGAAATGTAGCGTTAATAATGAACCTGATTGGCACCCACAAAGGGACAGACGCCCACTGCCAAACCCTGAGCAAACCAGTTCATTTCCGGTTACAAGTCAACTGAGGAAACCCTTTTGTTCATTGTGCGAAGGAACCCATCTACCAAGCAAATGCCCGAAACATAACAACCTTCAGGCCAAGAAGGATCGTTTGCTGGAACAAAATCGTTGCCTAAAGTGCATATTATGTAGAGGGAACCACCCTCCAAGCCATTGTTCTAAGTATAGCAGCCCAAAGGCGAGGAAATACAAGTTACTAGAGCAGAACCGTTGCCTAAACTGCCTGAGCGATGACCATCGAACCTTTGATTGCAGGAATAATTGCCGATGTATTAAATGTCGAGGAAAGCACCATGTTATGGTTTGCTATTCAAGTGTGTCAAAACTCCAAATGTTGGAATCTACGCGGAGGAGGAATAATTATTGTTCAAAGCAGGCTAGAATGTTTGAGACTGAAAAATTGTTAGATGAAAAGACAAAGGCCCTCCAAGAGAAAGATAGAAAGATAGTGAAATTGATGTCCGAGCTGATGATGGCACGCAGAAAATCCGAGGAGGAATCCAAAAAAGCTAAGCGATTGAAAGTTCTATTAGATGAAGCTAACTCGAGGAAGATTGGTGATTTTAATCCGAAAAAGATTGATGATGGAAAAGGAATTCGGAAAGAGACTCAAGTCCGAGTCAAGTCCCTTCAAAAGACTAACCGAGAATTGCTTGTTAAAAATGGCCTGCTCAAGCGTGAAGTGCGCATTTGCCGTAAAAAATGCCTAAAACTAGAAACCCTGGAACCACCAGATTTCCATGCCTTTTGCTGCCCATGGATGGATATAAAAATGCTAATGATTGTCTTTGCTGCTTTTGCTATGATTCTGGACGGCGCTAAAGACGCCTTGAGGATGTTTGTTCGCGCAACCAATAAACTTTGGAAATGTAAACCGAATGAAAAGATAGAAAAGGAATTGACTCCTCTAGAAACTTCATCTTGGCTTTCTTTAACGCTTTTCGCCACCGTTGTTGCGATCTACCCCAGTTGGACCTTTCTCGCCATCTTTGTTGATGTTATGGATGGCTGGGCACATGCATGGAAAGAGAGCAGAAAATGTGCAATGGATGATGTGCCGAAGATCAAGAAAAGAAAGAAAATACTTGAAAGATGGAAAAAAGAAATCGAGGTTGAAACTTTAGACGCGGGCGGGAATGTCGCGAAGCGACTAAAGATGAGGAAAATAAAATAAAAATATTTTTATAATTTTAATTTCTAAATTAATCATCATTTAATGCAAATTCCTTTTTCGGACTTTTACCTTCTAAAAAACCATTTTTTGCTGTAAACATCTATTCAAAACCTATTTACATTTTTTGCTCTTTTGTTCTAAAACTTAACTTAATTTTCCACTCCTTTGTATTATTCAAAATATGTGCATTTATATTTTATCGCTCCTATTATGCCTTTAATGATCGAAAATATTTTCTGTTTACCCGCCTATTTTTCTGGCCTATATAATCTCCCCTTCCAAACCCCTATTAGCTTCTTTCTGTGTTTAGCTTCTGTTCTAGCTTTCATTCTGGGGTTTGGCGAGCTTCTCTTGAACTGTTCTTTGCTGTATTAACGCTGTGCTTTTTTTGGAAATAAACTTATTTAATTGATTGAAGTGTTTTTTGGTTGGAATAAAACTTAGGCTAGAATTTGCTTGGTAGAAAACCTAGACTGAGATCTGAGCTCTCCCTCCACAGCCTGAAATATGCAAAAATATGCATTATATGCAAATAGAAACCCCCTCTAAAGTTTTCAAACCAAGCTAAAACAGTGTTTTTTGTGCTTTATCCATGATGCCAAGTTTGCAAAAAAAAATATGCATTTGCATAAAAATCACAGCTCTAGTTATGGCTCTGCGGCTTATGGCTCACGTCGGCCTGTTTCCAGAATAACAAGATGTACTTTACTTTAATATGTATAGGTACATAGGTAGTCGGTTTAAAAGGGAGAGAATTGACTAGGATAAATCTAATAGTGAGGGTTTATGAATAAAAATATTATAGATATGGGTAAGAAATTGATGTAAAAGGAATCATAATATCGGGAAATATTTACAATCAGGAATTGAAAATATTTTTTAGATCCAATAAGAGCTATCTACTCTTATGTAAGTTGTTTTGTTCTTGCTCTTGGATTTTTGATGAATTCATTGTTAATTTACTTGATAAAAACAAAGACGGTAGCTGGAATGGAAATATACAAAAAATTGATTTATATTAGTTGTTTTATGGATTTGACAGTCACTTGTTTGAATTTTATTGTCCAACCGGTGAATTGTTTCGAATTTTTTTTAAGTGCCGGAGTACAAGGGGTTTCGTGGCGGGTACGAGTCGGGGAAGCAAAGTAGTTATTAAGAAAAATTGATACCCTCCCAGGGTTGGGTCTCCCGAGGGTCGAGAGACCTTCGAGAGACGCCCTGGGAGTCTGGTCCCCTACCTTAACGAAAACCCTTTAAAACAAAACTATTAACAAAATATTTTTATTCAACAAAAATGGGAAAGTTTAATGGGGAGGGGAAGGAAGAAAAAGCCTTTTCTTTTTAGCTGTTTTTTAATACTACTGAAATTTTTGGGCTTTTTCTTCTCTTTTATAAAGCTGAAAGAACGTGAGGGAAAGCTGAGGGTAACAGCTGTCAGATCTATAACAGTAGTGTCGGAGTACGGGGGTTTAATGATAAAAACCCTGTTATTTTTCGTTAATTTATTCAAAATTAATGAGGATTATGAGTGTTTAAAGGGTTATAAGATGATTTCTGAAAACAAAATAATTACTATAAATTGATTTAAGTATTTGTAATTCGAAGCATCAAAATTAATTAATAATTAACACATTATTGCTTAGATTTAACTTTTTTAATCAATTTTAGTCTATTTTGTGCATATCTAGTGCTGCATATTACTATTGCCTATTCTGCCTTTTTTCGTATTTTAGTGCCTATTTTGGCAATTTTTGGTGCCTATATATCCTCTAATTATAAATAATTAAAATAGGACATGCTACAAAATAAAAAATAAATTTATGTACACAGATTCCTTGTAACTCTAATGGTTATCGTACTGTGTTGATGAATGGTTTATTTCGAAAGTCCTCACAACCAATTCGTTATGCTATTTATCTCATTTGGGTTCAATCTAATGCAAGTTATAAAATTCAAAAAAATTCTTTAAAAAAGTTTAGATTATATTCTTGCTTACTACAATGTCTCAATATGTCTATCGTTTTTTTATTTTATGTCGAAATGGAGTTTTTTCTGCTAAAATTATTTTATCTTTAATTATCGGCGAAACATGCCTATTTTTTACACATGCATTTTTAATTTCTTGGGCTGAATACCCACGTGAAGAACTCGTAAATAAAATGACTGAGATACGAACAAAAATTTTTGAAGAATCAGGCATATCTGATATTGAATTTATTGCTTTTGTTCATGCGGTAATATTTTAAAAATCCAAATAAAATAGTACAGGGTAAGCAAATTAGGAGCACCTTTTCATTTTGTCATACTACCTTCAATTTCAATAAAAATTGATAATTCGCTTTTTATTTTACTCACAACCTTCTATGAAAAAGTTGCGCCAAATCATAGAAATTTGATCAGAGTTAGTAAAGATAAAAACATCAAACATCTAAAAGCGTCAAAAAACATTCTTTCATGACAAAGTTTACTTTGCCATAACTTCGCTCAAAATATTCAATCTTAATATGGTATGTACCAGGGGTGTCGAGTTTCGCCTTTCGTCTCTCGCCGATTTTTGCCTTTTTTGGACTTTCGTCTTTTCGCCTTTCGCTTTTTAAAATCATTTTCGGCACATCCCTGGTATGAAGCAATCTTTTAATCTCTTGATATATATCTTATCCTTAAATCATTTGATACTCAAGGCATCCAAATCCAACTTAATCCCTTTAAAGTTCCTAATTTCACTACTAATCCCCGAAATAATTGTTATCCACAACTTGCACCGATAAATCTGGCTTTTTGGCCAAATTTTTAATCCCGCATTTTTTTTGCCAATAAACCCCGATCTTACTTTTTTTGGACCCGGCCCATCCCTTGTATATGAATAGAAAACTCCGACTATTTTTTAACTGTTGAAAAAAGGATGAGATATTATAAATTTGAATGAATCATACATATTTATGATTTTAAAAAAATAAAGAAAAACTACCGTTGGTTGATGCATCTTACGGCTATGCTTTTCTTATTCCCCGGATTCTATTTAATAGTTGGCATTTGTTTCTTTAAAATTAAGAAAACAATTAGACAAATGAATGTTTTAAAATTAAAAGAACATAACAAACAAGTTTCGGCCGCTCTTCTTTTTCAGGTAATTTTTTAAACGATTAACAAAAAAATCTTGGTAGACAGTATTGCTGCCCAGAGCGAAGTATGGCTCAGGGAGATAGATCTGAGGTTGGCAACATCTCCAGCGGAGCCGGAGATGTTGAAAAATTTTGAAAAAGGGTACAAAACGAAAAAAAGTTTCCTCTCTCTCTCAATCCGCAGAGAGAGCCGAACTGCACCTCTGGCACAAAACAAAAAAAGAACAAAAGCCCACTACCCGGCACTAATGCTGTCACAAAAAACAAACAAAATTATTAAATTAAAATTAAGGCATTACTTCCATCATTAGAAGTTATTGGCTGGACTATTCAAGTATTTGGCCCAGTATTTATTACCGGACATTCTATCATGTACACAGTTGCTACTGACATCCCAGTAACTTTAATCCCAGCATTGAACCCAATAGGAACAATTTTACTTGTTGCCCCATATCGGTAAATATTTTAGATTAATCTTTCAACAAATAAAAATTGCTACATGATTTTTTGGTTCTGGTTCCGGCCTTTAGTTCCGATTCCGGTCCTTCAGTTGCGGTTCCGGTTTAAACCAAAACTTTTTAACACCCCTAAGGATTTGATTTCTCATCTTTAAATGGACGAAATTAGCCTACAGCCTTCTAAAATTCTAAAATTTTCGCCTGCGGCGCTAAAAATGGAAGAAATCTGGCTACTTTGTCCCCCAAAATTCTCAAAATCTTCGCCTGCGGCGCTGAAAAAGTGAATTTTTTGGCCTTCTAGAATTCTCAAAATTTTTGCTGTGGCGCTAATAAAGCGAAAAATCTGGCTTGTTAGCCAGATTCCCTGATCGAAAATCCTTTCTACATTGGGAGTCAATAAACCAAAAAGAGCGAGACTTAAAGAAGAAAATCACCATAATTTATAATTATATTGAATGATCTACAGTAAAAGATTTTATTAAAAATTAGGTAGATTTAATTAATCTATTATACTTTGAGACGTGCTGTTTTTCGTTATTTTGGAATTACCAAAGCCCAATCAACAGTTATTCGTATTCGAACAACAATTCAAACAACAGTTCGTCGTTACGGGACGGCTAGTATACACCCGATTGGACGTTCTGGAAATTAAACATTTACATAAAGCCAGAACAGAAATTAAATTTAAAAGAAAGATATTTGAAGAAGATTGATAGAAAAACAAGTATATCTATGACTATTTTTGTATTAAATATCGAAAAAATCTATTTAAAAAATTTTTTTAGATCGGGCTTTAATTTAAATATTTTATCCTTAATTTAAATATTTATCCTCTTGTACCAAGGCTTTTATTTTTCTTTACCTCTTTACCGATTTTTACCTCTTTTACCGTTGTTTGACTTTGAATTACTTTTAACTTTCAGCAGAAATGATAGTGAAAAATGTGATGAAAATATGAGATAAGTGGTTGTTTACTCATTTTAGAGTCGAGATACTCGTACCTCGTATTCGTACCTGGTACGAAGTACGAGTACGAGCAAAAAAATGGGGCAGGTACGAAGTATGATACGAGGCAAAAAAAAAGTGTTAAGTTCAAGGTACGAGGCCAAAAAAGAGTTGGTACGAAGTACGAGTACATGCAAAATCGAAATTTCGAAGCACTGGTCGAGATCCGAAAAATAAACAAATACCTATGTATATTTCAATATGATCACAAAAAATTTATTCATTAAAAATTAATTTAAAAGCTCAACATCAGATCTGCTGTAAATAAAATTTTGATTAGTATTACTATTTATCCTTTCATTTTTAATATTTTCAGAATCTTCCTTAATTTCCCTACTTTCTTTTTCTTCTTTTAATCTTCCAATAACATATTTTAACAATACAATAGATGCCCTGACATTATTCGGGTGTACATCTTCAAAAACGGATGTAGCATCCATTCCAATAAATTCAAGAAGTATCTGAATAATTGAATTGTCTGATTATATAATAAAAATAATGTAAAGTATCCCATTGCACTATATTTAGCTTAAATTTCTATAAAATTCCTATATAAAATTACTCCTTCCAAACAGGGCTGCACGCAATTGCGGATTGCGTAAATTGAAGGGGGTTTTTGCAATTGCGAGTTGCGGATTGCGTTTGCGGATTTTTAAAAAAATTGTGAGTTGCGGATTTTTAAGGTTTTTACGCAATTTTCACGCAATTTTTCTAAATTTCCCTCACAATAAATGGAAAAAATCTGGGTTCTTGATCTTCCAAATTTCTCAAAATCTCAAAAAATTAAAAGAAATTGCGAGTTGCGGATTGCGTTTGCGGATTTAAAAAATGTAAATTGCGGATTGCAAGTTGCGGAATATGTATCTACCTCATCACCCCCAGGATGTATTTTTAAAAAATCAGTCAAATCAAAAACTAGAGAGCCAACAATAATCCAATTTTTATTAATATTAGCTCTAACATCTTCTCTTGTAAAAATTGGTAATTTATCAATAAGTGAGGGTCTTTTCTTTAAATTAATTAATTGGGTTTTTGTTGAAGAGGTAGTGGAATAATTAAATAAATAAAGTCCAGACATTTTTGTTAATTTTTATAGGAAATTATTTTAGAATCGACTATAAATTAAATTTTTTATTAGAGGTAATAATTAAAAAATTTAAATTGAAAAATTCTTTTTTAAATATGATTAATTTGTTTAGATTTTTTGTTTGTTAAATACATAATTGTAGGTACATTTATCAAAATAATTAAAATTATCAGAATTTTGTTTATATATTTCACTCTGTTTTCAATTTAATTAATAAATATTTTGATGTTTTGTTAAAAATAATTTTAAAATTTGATTATTTCATGATAGGAAAAAAATATACCTATGTGTTTGAGAGAACCACAAAAATAAATTTATTAATTTAGGATTGTAAAGCATATAGCTATTTAATTCCTAAGGCTGTGCAGTAGGCTGCGTGGTGTAATGGCTAACACATCAGTCCGGTCTACTGAAGATGCTGGTTTGTTCCCAGCTGCCGAATAACCTTTTGCACTAGCTAAAGGAGAGAAATAGCTATAGCCCAGCTGTACTGGATAAATTAAAAATAAATTCCGGATAACCTGAAAAATAGAGTGAAATTTTTAGAATTAAAGTCAGACTTTATTGAAATACAGAGGAATAATTAAACAACAACCAATTAACCGTTTTACCCCCAAAAAGGAGACATTTTAAACAAAAATTCGTCCTTAAAAAGCACCCATTCTCGCCTAATCAATCTTGTATTTGATTAATTAATTACTTCAATCACTTTCTTGTACCCATTAATTAATCTTTTATCTACGAACATTTAAAAGAAAATGATAAGAAAAAGAAAAGAATGATAGTGCTTGGATGGTTTTTGACGTTCTCCTTTTAATCTTGAGTTATTAAATTATTTCAAATTTTATATATCAAATGTCTCTCTCTTTAATAAATAATTTTATTTGTTTAAAAAAGAGGAGAAAACATAAAGTCCATAAAATGTGATAAAACTGCAAAATAAAAATGCAAAATTGACACAAATATTTTTTAATAAAAGGATTTTAGGATTTATTGAGGTAATTGTTGAATAAAAATATTTAAAAGTTGCTAATAATAAATTTAAAAAATCTAAACTAGAGATCCACTGATTAAACTTCTAAAGAAATTAAAGTAAAATGGTGTTGATCAAAAGTTTCTAGGTCTTCGGGGTCACGCAACATTGAGGGTGATGGTCTTCAGAGTCAAAGGTCTTCAGGGTGTAGGTCTACGGGGAGTAGGTCTTCATGGGTGAAAACGAGGTCTTCATGGGCCCACGTCTGATCGAGACTAGTTAGGTCGTACGTCGAACGAGATCTCAATAACAGAGATATTTGTTCGAGTTTCTAATATACATATGTTGGATATTGAAGTTTATAAAACCTAATTTAGAGATTTGTTTTAAAAAAAGGTCACGTTATTTAATTAAGGAAAATAATAAGATAAAAATTAAGAGTCTCCTTAGGCATTTTACAAAATTTTTGATTTTGGATAATCTCTAATAATTTACTTAAAATAAATTCAAAAATTACATATATTCTTGTTAGATTTTCATAAAATTTTTTTTATTTTGTTACTTTGCTTCGTTACATTTAGGGTTGACATACTTTTTTTTAAATATTATAGGGAAGGACGCTTATCTTCCATTCAAAAAATGTCTAGGTCACATTGATGTAAAATTTCCTTCTATACATAAACTCAGAACTTACTCTCATATACCTCATTTACCTTCATTCCCCTCTTATTTTTTAAATATTTTTTCAGAAAATTAAAAGAAAAATGAAGATCAGAACTCCAAAAGAATTGGAAGAATGGTCCTTTTCTGTCAATAATTCTGGTAATAGTAACGATATTTCAATTAAAGTTGAAGAAGAATCGGATGCTACAATTGTATTAGATGATGATGAGGAGGTGGAATGTTTAAAAGAAGAAGTTTTAGAAGAGGAAGATTTACAAAAAGAAAATAATTTAAAGGAAAATAATTGTAATTTAAAATGTAAAGTAAAAAATGTTGAAGAAAGAATTAAGGCTTTGGAGGTAAGTAAATGGAAGTAGTTTAGTATACCGGAGTTTTAGTACAATATAAAACCCGAACCATTCGATTCATCTCGATGAGCTGATTCGAACAATACCACATTTTTCCGGAGATGTCTGTGGACTGAGATATATGTAGGTCCCAAAAAATCGAAAAATCATAGAGGAGACCATCTTTGAATCAATGTGATTTTAGTGTCATTAGACTCAGGCATCATTGGAAAAGAGTGGTACCATTCGGCTCAGCTTATCAAGACAAATTGAATGGTATGTGTTTCGTATCGGAACTAAAACTACAGTATAATAAATTATATCCATGTAAATAAAATTAAAGAAAAAAAAGGGGGGACCAGCCTTGGAACCAGGGATGTCACGGGTTGAGAAAAATGTCGGGTCGGGTTTCGGGTCGGGTTTCCAAAATTTTTCTCGGATCGGGTTTCGGGTTTCGGGTTGAGCAAAAAGTCGGGTCGGGTTTCGGATCGGGTTTTCAAAATTTTCTTCGGATCGGGTTTCGGGTCGAAAAAAAGTCGAAAATTTTCAGAATTTTGGAGGATCATTAAGCTAAAAATCTTCCTATTTTCTGCGACGCGGGCGAAAATTTTGAAAAAACTCGGGTCGGGTTTCGGGTCGGGTTTTGAAAAATAAAAATTCTCGGGTCGGGTTTCGGGTCGGGTTTTAGAAAATTTCTCGGATCGGGTTTCGGGTATCGGATCGAAAAAAAGGCCGGGTTTCGGGTAACCCGTGACATCCCTGCTTGGAACCAGCCTCCAAGGGACCAGCCTTGGAATTACCAATTAAAGTTTAAACTTTCATTTTTATATAGGCTGATTCGGAAAAGACTGATTATTCTATGGAATTAATTAAAACAAAAGTTGATTTGGTAATGATTTTATTTTTAAAATTTTGAAAATTTTTGTGAAATTTTAAAAATATTTTTAAGCAAGATCAAATGATAAAACAAATACTTTTTTTACAAACTAATTCACAAAAGCGAGCTTCAGAACATAAAATGGCTATGTTAAAAATGCGGAAAAGTGTTGAGAAAATGGCTAATGAAAAGGCATTTTTATAGAAAAATTTTTAAGGAAAAATTTGAAAAAAAAATTTTTAAAGTCAAAATTAAACAAACAAAAAGAAATTTTGCAACAGTCAAAATTTTCTCTTAAAAATATTGTTGCTTTACAAAAAGAAACGATTGGAACCCTGGAGGAAAAAATTGGAATGGGTGATGATGAGCGAAAGCAGTTAACTGAACGTTTAAATAAAGTGAAAATTAATTTTAAAATTAAATAAAAATAAATAATTTTTAAAAAGGCTGAAAAAGAACTTCGAGTTGTGACAAACAAATTGGCAAACTTTTCCAACTTAAAAGCTGTGAGCTTTATTTTTTAATATGTTGAAAAATTATTTTTCTTCTTAGAAATTTATTAAATTTGAAAATAAATGGGGATATATTGCCGAGCACTTTTTCGTTGATCAAAAGAAAATTATCCACAATAATAAATTTGAAAGTAAAATTGGTAATGTTGCTATTAATGGGGGAAAGGTAGAATATTCTGCATCAAACAGTGCTAAAGGTAATTTATTTAATTTAATAACTGGCATATCTATTTGTGTAGTTCGAAAGCTTTTTTGCTTCAGCTTCGAATTAGTGTCTAATTCGATTTTATACAATTTTCTCACCATATATCGAAAACATGTCCGAAGATACATATTCTTAAAATGTTTTTTGGAAGCCAATTGAATTTACTTCAATGGGTTTCATTAAATGGGCTTCTAGTAAGGATAAGCTTCTATTAGCTTAGGTATTTATAAAGAGTGGAGGTCATTAATACTACTTGGCTATTTTCTAATTTAATTTCCATACTAGAATCTATGGTAATATTCAATTTCGTTCCCCCCTTTTTTCATTCCTCAAAGTATTAAAAATGGTTGTCAAAAAAATTGTTAAAAAATTTTTCCCGATATATCGTTTAGTCAAGCTCCCACCGACCCCGGCGATTTTTTTGACGAAACCTCCAACCCGATCCCATAAGGCTTTACCCTGTCAAACCCCAATCCCCGCCTATCCTGACCCCAAAGGCTCGGCGAGCTACCCTAATTTAGTCTAATCTAATATTTTTTTCACTACAGAATTGAATAATATGATACGCGTTTATGGCCAAAACAAATTTAATAAAGTAGCAGCAGACCCTCTTTTTGACTCAATTTTTTATTTTGAAATTGAATTTCAAAATATTGAAGAAGTTAATAAAAGAGGGGAAATGGCATTAATTGGACTTGACAGTAACAAATCAACGATACTTACTTTGTCTTGTTGTTGTTTATTGCCTGATAAGATAACTAAAAGTTTAAATATTTCTGTTTTGGGAAAAGTTGAAAAAATTCGTTATCCAAATATGTCTTGGAAAAGTGGAGATGTTTGTGGGGTTGGATTAGTTTATCAAAAAGAAGATAGTGTTGATAAACGTCCATACGCTTTCTTTACACTTAATGGAGAGATTTTTGGTAAATTAATTTTTATGAAATCGGGCACTTACCGTATTTCTTCAAATAGAGCCCCACCTTTAATTAGACCCCCATCCTCTAAACAGCCCCCCCCCATCATCCCCTTGGAGGATAGTTGAAAAATAGATCCCCATGGGGCTGTATTAATGAGAATACCGTATACTATAGGCACTTTTTGAAAATAATTTTGGATAATTTATTTTCTAAAACAATTATTTGGTTTAATGATTGGAGAAAATTGTACATATTTTTAAATTTTGTTTTAAATCGGTCAGGATTTTTTGTTTAGTTTGTTCATAGAAGCTACTATGTTTAAAAAAACAGTTCTAAGTCTTATAAAATGTATGAAATATGCCTATGTATTAGGGGAAAAATTACACTATTTTTTATATCTGACCCGGACCGATTATTTGATGCCCGGACTGAATCCGGTTTTAATTACGGACTACCGAATCCGGAAAGTCTGGATTCTGGTCCAGGCTTCAACTCTAGATAAAACTTTTAAAAATTTTAAAAATACTACTTACTTTTTAAAATTTTAGGTAAAACACTCTTCCTTGAAGAAAAGAGTGACAACTTTCGACCATTTTTTGGCTTTCTTAATGGAACTGTCCAAACAAACTTTGGTGCTGATTTGTTAGCAATGCCATTTCGTTATGATGTTTCAAAACATATTATGCCTGAAGGATTTTACGAAGAAAAAGATTTTTCTTAAATTTTTTAATTAAATTGATGTTTTTTTTTTGTTTTTTAAATTAAATTTGTAAATGTTTTTTGAACAAAATTCTCTTTTAATTTGTAAATAAAAAGTTTGGCAATTAATTTGAATTTCTAAAAATAATTTTGAGCAATATGTAACTTGAGATTTGAATTGGGTACTTTTCCGTTATGCGACGCCACCTCCACATAAATTAATGTTAAAAATGTCAAATATAGGGTGATAGAAGGTGTTGAGTCGAACCGTACTACTCTTTTTTCCCTGAAATTTATGTGGATCGAGATGAGGGCTCGAAATGGTCAAAAACCATAGGGTCATTTTGGGTAAAAAATTCGAATATGCAATTAAAAACTGATTCAAATGAGCTCATCGAGCTGAGTCGAAAGACACCAAAATCAACAAAATCTGATATGAATGGACTCATGTCAGCAGCTTTTATTCCGAGAAGGGATACAGACATCTGAACATTGAAAAACCACAATTATTTTTGTATCGTAACATTGTCCAAACTTGTTCAATCACGATGATTTTGGTGTCATTCAACTCAGCTCGTCGAGCTCTTACCCTTTATAACTCCAAATATACCGATATCCTCCTAAATCCACCTATAAGCATTCAAATCCTCTTAATCCCTCCTAATCCACTGATATATATTCATTCCCCCATTAATCCGTAAAAACCCACCGATATTGTCTCCAAATCCACCAATATTCAACATATCTATAATTTAAAAATTTTTTGTGAAAATCTAGTAATCCCGGGGGATTCCTGGCAAATTTGGGAACGGGATTACCGGGTTTTACGGAACTAATCCCGTGGTATCCCGTCCCGTACAAAATGTTGAAAAAAATCCCGTTACGGGATCCGGGAATGTGATTTTGCCGACCTCTATTCTAGGCTAGTGTCTGTCTTCTTGCATAAACAAGAACGAATCTCAAATTTGTCTGCTATACCGTATTATAAAAAATTCAAATAATTTCTTTTATCATTTTACCCTAATCCAAATAATCCAAAAATTGCTTCATAGAAAATATGCTACTATTCTTTATTTTAATATTTTTGCCTCATTACAAAGACTAGCATTCTTTTTTCAAAATAAAACTGAAACTCCCATAATAATGTCTAGGTCGACGAAAAATAAAAAAAAATAAAAAATAAAATTTTACAATTACATATTCTATATATAATTTTATTTATTATTTTTCAGATTTTTTAAATAAAAATGAAAATGCGAACACCAGAGCAAATTGAAGATTGGTCATATTCTAATAACAATTCTGATAATATTAATAATTATTTAAATAAAATTGAAGATGATTCTGATAAAACTATTAATAGTTCTGATAGAACTATTCAACTTGAAAAAGAAGTATGTAGGTTGTAACACAAAATTTAATGTTGAATTAAAGTTTATAAGATTCACGATTTTCGATTTTTTTATGAAAAGGGAGATTTTCGCTAATTATTTCTGCCATACCTCCCAAAAATAATTGTTATTTTTATAATTAAGTGGCAGAAACTGTGAATCTATCTATGTCTTATGGTTACCTAAAATAATAAAATCTATCATTAATCATTATCGAATTAGTGATCAATGTATGCCTCCAAGTTTCAGGACACTTAGTCTTGAGAAAAAAGCTCCTTCCCTGTTTAGGTATTAAATTCGGTATTTTTAGTTAAATCAGGAGCCAAAACCAATTAATATAATTTTGGAACGAAATTGTTGTAGCTATAAACAACACATTTTTTATGGTTTTGTTATTTTGTTATGTATTGTTGTGATTGTTGTTACTTCACAAAATAAAGGAAATGAAGAAAAATTACACGAAAAAATTGAGAAAATTGATAAAGAACAGGTATTGCAAGTTTAATATAAGGTTGAAACAAGAACCTTTACCGAATTTTTTTGAAAAAAATAATAGTTAACGAGATACCGATTATGGTAAAATTCCGTCATATCACCCGGAAACCGATTCGGACAAATGATATGTCATTCGAAAGATCTCGCCGAGCTGAGTCGAACGGCACCAAAATTAGCTGGGGGACTCACCTATGGGCCGAGATATTGGTCCTCGAAAATCGAAAAACCATAGGAGGGACCAAGCACTTTTTTGGGGTAAAAAATTCGAATATGCAAATTATACCTCATTCGAAAGAGCTCGTCGAGCTGAGTCGAATGACACCAAAATCAACCAAAACTTACTTGATTTAACAAAGTTATGACAAAGTTATAACAAAGTTATGACAGTTTGTTTTAGCTCCGTACCTATGGTCTCCGTTGAAATTTTACTGCTGTGGAGAAAGCCAGGCATGCCCACCTCATCGATGATAGGAATAGGATTAAGTTACTAGCCCAGAACCCAGCGACCGTAGACTCCCCGCGAGGCGCGTGCCGCAAAACTCCGCGCGGAGCGCGGAGTTTTGCACAAGCGCCTCGCCGACGCCCCATAGGTTTACGTTGACCATTTTGAACCTGTTTATCTTGGCTCAGAATCAAAATCTCGAGCTGATTTTGGTGTTATTCGACTCAGCTCGAGGAGCTCTTTCGAATTATCATTCAAAATATCGATTTTTCACCCCAAAATTGAGCTTACTCCCCCCTATGGTTTTTCGATTTTCGGGGACCTATATCTCGGCCCATAGGTGAGTCCCCCAGCTAATTTTGGTGCCGTTCGACTCAGCTCGGTGAGATCTTTCGAATGACATATCATTTGTCCGAATCGGTTTCCGGGTGATATGACGGAATTTTTCCCCGATTATTTTACACTCAAATATATTTTTTAATTACTACATACTTTTCCCTTTTTTTAAAGTTTCTTCTTATCTTATTATAAATAGGTTTTTTTGTTTTGACCAGAGTTGCCGCCCGAAACCCGGCCTTTTTTATATCCGAAACCCGATACCCGAAATGAAAACGCTCCAACCCGATACCCGAAACCCGTACCCGAAGATTTTTTGTACCCGCGGCAACACTGGTTTTGACCATATGTAGTGGAGCTAATTGTTTATCTACATGTAATCCAAATAATTATGAAAACCTAATATTTTAATAGTTTTGAACGGGAGTAAATTAATTAAATATATGTACTTATAATTTCCTTAATTTATTTGGTGTAATAAAAAAAATTTTCGGATAATTGTCTTTCTTAAAATTTTCTTTAACTTAAGTAAAAACCAAAATTAATTTTATAAATTTTTAGGCCAAACTTCACGAACAAATTAAAATTTTGGAGAATGCAAAGACTGATTTAGATAACCTAGTTAGACAGACTAGCGAAAATTTTCGTGAAAAGATTGCGTTTATTGGTGATAAACAAAAAGAGATTATTTATTATTTAAATAATGTAAATTTTTATTTTTTGATCTTCACAAATATTCTAAATTTATTTTAAGGCATCACGAACCGATTTTTATTCTCAAAATTTTATTAGATCGCGAATGGATAGAATTGAAACAAAACAAAGTATAGAAAATAAAGAATTTGAAATTAAACTTCATGAAATGAAAATTGAAATTGATAAAATGATTAAAAAATTTACTTCACATAACAGTGAAAATGAGGAAAATAAAATTAAAATTCAAAAAGTTGGAAAGCAAATTGATGAACTCGTTAAAGAGCAGGTAGCTAGCTTACCCAGAATTATTGGTACACTCGCACAATACGAGATCCTAAATACCTAATCTGAGGCAAAGAATTAATGGAAATTGTCTCCAAGAACCTCCAAAATTTTTGCCTACGGCATTAAAAAGGATGAAATCGGACTTCAAAGGTACCGGACATAAAATTTTTTGAAAAAATCGGGTAAACCATTGTTTAGAGTTCCCCTTTTTTCATCTTCCTTGAGTTTCTTCACTTTAAATTAATAATTTTAATTTTTCAGGAAAACTTAGAGAATAAAAATTATTCGGCAAGTTTTATTTTAATTCAATTTCATTAAAATAACTCGATTTTTATTTTTAAGGAAACTCCAAAACCCGTTTTAAAAGAGAATAAAACAGATTCTGCAAGCCTTTTCAACTTAAAAAATTCAATTTTTGTTAAGAATAATTTGTTTGGATTATTTTTAATAATTTACTATTCTATTGCATTGCTATCTTTTCTTATGGTACTAATTAATGCTAAAACTGAAGATTTTTTTACGTTTGAATTTTTTGAGCTTCTGTTGCTAAAAACAAATATTTCTGCATTTTTAACTACTCTTTCTCTATTTTTATTTTTTTATCTCTTTTATGGATTTTATTTAAGTTTTTATTATTTTTTTGTGTATTCTTATTTAATTTTTTATAATTTTTTTGTATATTATTATTTATATCTTCACTTTTTATGGTCGTTTTTCTTTTATTTAATTTCTGAATAAAAGTTTTTTGAATAAATTTTCCTCTAGTAAATTTAATTTTCTAAATCCACTCTGACTTAAAAATTAACAAATAGTCCAAACAAAAATTTAAAAGCAAATTAATTTTATATTAATTTTAAATATTAATTAAAAACTTGAGTAGATTTAGATCAAACATACAAAATAATATTCACGGTTATGGAATTTTAGTCCCACCGTACTGTTATGGATTTAGTCCCACCGTACTGTTTAATAAAGATTTGAAGTATCACTAAATACATATTAACTAGTTCTACTCGAAGTTGTGATACACATATAAGGTTTGTATGATAATGATTGTAGTGATATCGGGGATACAGGGGCATCACGAAGGATATCAGGAGATTTTGAGGGACCAATAGATTTAGAGATACAATGGGATTACGGTGAATATTAGGTGAGTTGGGGAGATATTGAGGATAAAGGAATATCGTTGGATTTGAAGTGATACCGGGAATATTAGATGATTCGGAAGGATTTAGAGGGGAGTTTTCTTAGTAGCTACATGATGAAATAAAATTGGTATACAAAGGGTTTTTTGGTATAATAAAGGCAAAATTATAGAAATTTTGGAAGGCCAAAAAGCCAGTTTTCTTCCGATTTCGGCCTCAGATTGGGTATATTTTTTGCGTTAATTTTGGTAAAAATAAATTATTTATGAATAAAATAATTTTTAATAAATTCTCTATTGTCAAACTATGTATGACCTTATAATTTCTTGACAGATTGTGTGTAAATAATTAAAAAATAATTTAACACAAAATTTCAATTAAAACAAATAGGTAACTTTCTTATTCATAAATTAAATAAAGAAACACAATGGAAATCAGAAACTTAAAAAAAACTAATTATTAAATTTAAATTAAGGAAAATGAATGTAAAAATCTATTTTCGCATCACAATCATCCAATAAACCAAAAAAAAGATTATTTTAAAAATCATTAAAACAAAAGGAAAATTAAAATAAATTAAAATATTTTCTTAGAAAAAATATTAAATAAAGTTAAAGTTTGTACAATGGATTCAAAAAAAGATTTTTTCAATAAAAGGAAATTATATCCCTTAAAATTCTTCTTCAAAATGCGTCATTAATTTAAAAATAAATTTAAAATAAATAAATTTATTAAAATATCCATTTATGTACCTTATTTAAATTTTATTTTAAATAATTTTTATTTGCAAAGCTTTTTTTTTGGAGTAGCTACTTGTTGGGAATTTTTTAAATTTAATTAATATAAATACAGAGAAGGGTGAATATATTAAAATAAATCAAAAAATAAATTTTAAGTAATTAATTTTTAAATAAAAAATATTTTTAAATGGCTTCTCAAAAAATTAATTTTATAATTATTGCTTTATTTAGCATTTTTGCTTTAATTTCTTCAGAAGAAAATATTAAAGTATTTTTTAAAAAAATTTTTAAATTAATTTATTTAAATGAAAATCGAATAAAAAAAAATTATTTTTCAAAGAATTGTCAAAAATGCGCAGCAGATGTTTGTGGCCATCCTTGTAATGTAAGCGAAAGTGCCTGTAACAATTGCAAGACTATAGATTTACCAAAAAGGTGTGGATGTTGCTTCCCGGCTGTTGATGAGGTATTTTAATTTGTTAAATTACACGAGCGGTTATTATTAATAAATTATCGGTTTTAATTAATCTTCCCAAACTATGCGGAGATTGTAGTCCCGTTGGGGTTGAGGTATATGATTATGAGACTTGTGAACAATTTTTTTTATTAATTTGTTTTATGTATCAGATAAATAATTTATAATTTTTTCATTCTGGACTCTCTAATTATAAGCTCAGGAACCATTCCAAGCCTTAAAGTGGGTTTGTTATGGAACATTTTGTGGTAGATTTCAAGCCAATTCTGGACTTTTTTCCTTTATTTAATCTTTGATTTAAATTAAATTTTCTCCTTCTGGTCCCCAATTTTTTACATTTCTAATATATATTTTAATTTAAAGACGTGTGAACAATGCACACACCGAATCTGTGATTACCCATGTAGTGTGGGTGATTCTGATTGTAACAATTGTCACAGAATTGATGTCCCCAAACTTTGCAAAACTTGTCCTGCTGTTAAAGAAGTAAATAGGATATTTTAAATATTTTTAAGTATTGTGAACTTTTAAAGAATTTTGTGTTATTTTTAGCTAAATATGGGTATTTATTAGGCAGTGATACTTAAATTAATTTAAATATAAATTAATTCAAGTTAACATTATTTAATTTAAAGACTTGTGAAGAATGTAAAAATCGAATTTGTGATTATCCATGTAAATCAAGTGAATCGGCTTGTGACAATTGCCATAAAATTGATGTTCCTAAACAATGTGAATCTTGCTCAACTTACAACAGTGTAAATATTTAAATATTAAATTAATTTACGCCCCCACATTCTTATACAATATTTAGCCTTAATATCTCATAAATTTTAATGAAAATTATTTTAGACATGTTCTGATTGTGCAAAACGAGTATGTGGCCACCCATGTTCAATTAATGATGATCAGGCTTGTAATAATTGTATAGAACTTGATCTCCCCAAACTATGCGGAGATTGTTACCCTGTCGGTCCGGAGGTAAATAATTAATTTTAATTAAATATACACAAATATTTTTTTTAGAATTTCTTATATTGCATTACACGTGTTTGTACACCTCCTTGTCGAGCTAGCAAGGATGCTTGTAATAATTGTATCAACATTGATATTCCAAAGTTATGTAAATTATGCCCGTAAGTTATTTAATTTTAATTTAAATTTAGTAATTTCTTTAAAAACTTTTTAGCCTTGAAATATGAGGAATACAAGATTTTGGAATGAAAAGTGGATGATTGGTAATTGGGAAATGAAATTAAAAATGTGAAAGAAGAAAATAAATATATAAATATAATCACATAAAATTATTTTTTAAATAACAATATTAAATCATTTTTTTGGTAAATATAAAAATTTTGGTAAATATATAACTGGTTTGGCAAGAGAATTTATTTGTTTGATAGACTTAAACCAGGACTAGAGCCCTAGAAACTCAGAAGAGCACAATATTTTACAGAAGAAATGAAGTGTTACGACCATTAGGTATGAAACATGTCCTAATCATTTTTTTCCGGATCGACCAAATCCGGATCAAGCTCAAGGAATTATCCGGGGTTCATTTATCAAGGGTATATATATATCATTAATCAATCATTTTTTTCTTTTATTAATAAAAAAATGTCCATAGGGATAAAGGGAAATACCAAATTTAATCATGCTTTTACTTAAAGCTAGAGGGTGATTATAATTATCTGACAGAGTGTATTAAATGATAAATCAAATAATTGAAATAAGTTTAACTCAATATTTCAATAAACATTGTAACTTTTTTAGTCAGAAATTAAATAGAGAAACACAATAGAAAACAGAAAATTTATCAAAATTATGAAAAATAAATGTAAAAATACATCCAACAAATCAAAAAAGAATATTTTTTAGAAATACTTCAAACGTGTTATCTTTATTCGAAATTAAATTTTTAAAATTAAAATTAATTGAAAATGTCTTGTTCTTCTTCAAAATCTTCTTCTTCAAATTCTTCTTTTTCTTCAAAATCTTCAAAATATCCCATAGTTGGTCCTTCAAAATTTTCAAAGTCATTTTTCGCATACTCAAAAATATTGATCTTGTCGAAAAGTTCGTTCTGCAAAGATGTAAAATTAATTTTAGGTTTTAAAATGTGATTTCCCTTGTTGGGAAGGGTAAACCTAAATTTAAATTAAACTTTCAATACCTTTTCGTTAACAATTTTCTCAATTAGTTTTTCCATTTTTTGAATTTTAATTTCATTTTCTTTTCCCTTATGTTCTAAAAATATTTTTTCGTTTTCAATTATATCCATTCTTTTTGAATGCTCATTAATATACTTTTGAAGAGTATTAAAATTTGTTTTTGACATCTTAAGATAAATTTAAAATATTTAATAAAAAAATAAACGATTACCTCATAAAAGTCATCAAATCGTTTATTTTCCTTATCATCAATAACCGCAATTTTTGCTTCTAAATTTTTAATTTGCTCGACTAATTTACCCAAATCTGTTTTTGTATCCTCCAAAATTTTAATTTTTTCATTAAGTTTGGCCTACAAATTTAAAAATTAATTTTAGATTTTACTAAATAAGTTCACGGGCCCCAGGCACTCTCCTTTGTGAGTGATATATCCTTTATGATATATTGAGTGAAATATCCTTTATGAGTGATTCTCTATGCAAAAGTAAATCCCTAATTTATTTTAAACATTTTATACCTGTTCTTTAACCATTTCCTTAATTTCCTTTTCCATTTTTTCAATTTTAATTTCATTTTCTTCAATAGTTCCATTATTTTGTGAGGGGCATTCTTTACTCATTTTCTCACTTTCTTTTTGCATTTTTAGAATTTTAATCTTATTTTCGTTATGCCTAGCATCGGCCACAAAAACGATATATAAAATAACACACCAATAAATTATGTGTACTTTATAACTTGAACTCTTCTGTTCCAAAACTATTTTTATTGGTTTTGAATTGTGATTTGACTAAAAATTATTTTTAAAAATTTTTTTTTCCAATTTTTTATAATTTTAATAAATCCACAGTCCATGGTACTTATTTAACCCCCCACCCCCAGTCATTTTTTTGGTAAATATTAGGGTTGTTGGATTTTTGAAAATTTTTGCCAAAAATGAACTGTTTTTACCGAAACCGGAAATTTGTGAAAAAGAGTGATTTTATTAAAAATTCTCCCAAAATAAAACCAGTATTTGCTTAAAGCTCAAAACAGAAAAACCGGGTTTTTAAAATTTGGATTAACCGAAAACCGGAGGTCCGGTTAATAACCGGTCGCCAACAACCCTAGTAAATATGTAAAAAAGTGATCAGTCATTCTAATGTTATAGAACTCGTCGAGCTGTGTCGAATGACACCAAAATCACAAAATCTGACTTGATTGGATACAGGCCCCTCAAAATTGAAAAACCATAGGCCTATTTTAAAATTTAATATTCAAACTCACTTCTTCATATCTATCAAAATAATCCCATTCATTAAAATGTTTAGGTGTTTTTATTTTCATTTTAATTTTTAAAAATCTGTAAAATAATAAATTTAAATAAATTAATGTAAAAATTATTTTTTTACAAAATTAAAATAAGAAAATTAAAATGAAGAGTAATTTTTAGGGTTTATAAAGGAGAGGGTATTTAGAAAAAGTATTTTGTAGGCAAAATAATTACAAAAAATTTTAAAATAAGGGAATTAAATGTAATATTTATACATAAATATTTCTGAGACAATTTTTTGAGGCAATAAATTATTTGAATTTTTTGTAGATTAAGTACACAGCTTATTTTTTAATTTTATTTTTAGCCAACAATTAATTGTGTAAAAAGACTCATGGCATATAGAGCAGCCATGTTCGCTTACAATTTATTTTAAATTTTTAACAGTAGTAATGATCTTTAATCATGATCTTTAAGCATAATCATAACCATTAGGGCTGTGCGCCAAGACGTTTTGGAGTTGGCATCATTTTTGGCCAATTCTGGCGCACAGCCATGGTAACCGTGATTTGTGGTGATTGAAAAACACTCACAACATGCCTCAACTAGAACGTTTACTTTTCAGTGAAAATTTCAGATGATTAAAAAATTTTACTACACCCCATGGATAGTGAGTTACAGATGGACGAAAATGAACCTTCGTCGGATGAAAGGCGGTTGAACCTTGATTGTAGTAATATAGCTTGATCTGGATTTTGTTGATCAGGAAAATAGAACTTTAATTAGCGCATTTCCATAACTCTTGGCCCTAACTTTTCATTTCTTTTGTAAAATATAGTGCTCTTTTGATTTTCTAGGGCTCGAGTCCTAGTTCATTTAAAGCTATCATACAAATAAATTTTCTTGCCAAACCAGTTATATATTTACCCAAAAAATAATTTAATATAATGTTATTTAAAAAATAATTTTATGTGATTATATTTATTTATTTTCTTTCCCATTTTTAATTTCATTTCCCAATTACCAATCATCCCCATTCATTCCAAAATCTTGTATTCCTCATATTTCAAGGCTACAAATTTTAATGAAATTATAAAATTTAAATTAAAATTAAATAACTTACGGGCATAATTTACATAACTTTGGAATATCAATATTGATACAATTATTACAAGCATCCTTGCTAGCTCGACAAGGAGGTGTACAAACACGTGTAATGCAATATAAGAAATTCTAAAAAAATATTTATATATATTTAATTAAAATTAATTATTTACCTCCGGACCGACAGGGAAACAATCTCCGCATAGTTTGGGGAGATCAAGTTCTATACAATTATTACAAGCCTGATCATCATTAATTGAACATGGATGGCCGCATACACGTTTAGCGCAATCAGAACATGTCTAAAATAATTTTATTTTTACTGATTTATTCATTTAAATCCTTATTAATTTAAGAGGGTTTAATAATAACTTGAGTAATCAACCCATATCTAATTATCTATTATTATGGGGACTCTCGGTACTTTTGTCTTCGCTCTTGTCTTGTCTTTTATTTTATTTGTTTTGTTTGTAATTTTTCTGAAGTTTAGTGACCTTTCTTAAGGTCCGTTTCAGTGAATAAATAAATTTAAAATTCTTATCAACCCATATCTAATTATTTATTACGTAGTATGGGGTTTAATATTTAAATATTTACACTGTTGAAAGATGGGCAAGATTCACATTGTTTAGGAACATCAATTTTGTAGCAATTATCACAAGCCGATTCACTTGATTTACATGGATAATCACAAATTCGCGTCTTACATTCTTCACAAGTCTTTAAATTAATAGGTATTTTAAAAATAATTTAGCGTGAATTAATTTTTATTTTAATTAATTTAATTATTACTGCCTAATAAATATCTATATTTAACTAAAAATAACACAAAATTCATTAAAAGGTCACAATAATTAAAAATATTTAAAATATGCTATTTACTTCTTTAACAGCAGGACAAGTTTTGCAAAGCTTGGGAACATCAATTCTGTGACAATTTTTACAATCAGAATCACCCACACTACATGGGTAATCACAGATTCGGTGTGTGCATTGTTCACAAGTCTTTAAATTAAAATTATTTTTTTAGATAATTGACAAAAATGTTTTAATTTTTAGGAAAAAATATTTATTAAAAATGTAACAAAAAAGGGCCCTAAAGGAAAAATTAAAAATTAAATAAAGGAAGATAGTCCAGAATTGCTTGAAATCCTTTTGTTATAAATTTGAAAAAAATAGATTATTGGATTAATTAATTGGACAAGAAATTAGATTACAATTACAAATTTACAAACGTAGAATTAGCCCGAAATCTATAACAAAGCCAGGATTCCCCCCCCCCCCCCTCCCTGCCCCACCCCCTGACTACGGGCCTGAACAAAAGGACCCAGAATTGAAGAACAACCATCCCTCTAAAACAAATTTGTGTATTTAATTAAACCTAATAATGAGCTTTTTTAAATTTAAAATACCTCATCAACAGCCGGGAAGCAACATCCACACCTTTTTGGCAAATCTATAGTCTTGCAATTGTTACAGGCACTTTCGCTTACATTACAAGGATGGCCACAAACATCTGCTGCGCATTTTTGACAATTCTTTGAAAAATAATTTTTTTTTATTCGATTTTCATTTAAATAAATTAATTTAAAAAATTTTTTTTAAAAAAATACTTCAATATTTTCTTCTGAAGCAATTAAAGCAAAAATGCCAAATAAAGCAATAATTATAAAATTAATTTTTTGAGAAGCCATTTAAAAATATTTTTTATTTAAAATTTAATTATTTAAAATTTATTTTTTGATTTATTTTAATATATTCACCCTTCTGTGTATTTATATTAATTAAATTTAAAAAATTCCCAACAAGAAGCTATTCCAAAGAAAAAAGCTTTGCAAATAAAAATTATTTAAAATAAAATTTAAATAAGGTACAAAAATGGATATTTTAATAAATTTATTTATTTTAAATTTATTTTTGAATTAATGACGCATTTTGGTAAAGAATTTTAAGGGATATAATTTCCTTTTTTGGAAAAAATCTTTTTTTGAATCTATTGTACAAACTTTAAATTTATTTAATATTTTTTCTAAAAATTATTTTCATTGATTTTAATTTCGAAGATTTATTTTTATTTTATGTCAAACAGTTTGAATTATTTTTAAAAAGAATATTTTATGTAGAGCCTGGATGGCGACGAACTACGACGGTATTCCGTATCGGTAGTAGGGCTGCACGCAATCGAAAAAGCAACTCGCAATTTCGTTTTAAAAATCCGCACTCGCAATCAGCAACTCGGAATTGCAAAAATCCACGCAATTTACGCAATCCGCAATTGCGAGCAGCCCTGATCGGTACAGGATACCGACCGATAAAATCTTTTATTTTTTTCCGCACTGTAATACGTTGCCTAAAAAATTTCTCGATATTTAAAAAATAATCTTTTTTGCTTTATTGAATGAATGTTGAATGTTTGTTGAATGTCTTTATAGAATGTTTAATTTTCTGATTTACATACATACATTGTTTTTCTCTATTTAATTTATAATTAAGAAGTTGTTTGTTCTTGTTGAAATTTTGTGTTAAATTTATATTTATCAATCGAAAAATCCACAAAAATATATCTGAACTCTCATTATAGATGGATACATTAATTTATAAAAACAATTTAATCGAAAATGTTTACAATTAAAATAATATTCCCAAAAATTTCATTTTTTTTATAAATTAATAAAATTTTCTCCATTTCTCCTCTCAAATTTTACATTCTTTTCTTCATTATTGTCATTTTAAACTTAAAAGCCGAGCCAATCTTCGATTCTGCATTGCAAAATGAAAATTTCACTGTTGGATCAAATTTATTGACGATTTGGAATTTTGTACATTTAACACCATTGAATTCTTTAATTTCAACATTTTCTGCCTTCTTGTTCACTTCAAAATTTGTGGCAGACATATATTCTAACATAATAACAGGCACTACTTTTGACAAGTCTTTGGATGTTGTTACATACTAAAATTGAAATAATTTCTGAATCATAGATTTCATTGAAAATAAAATACTTTTTTTTTAATAGACCGAAACTGAGTATTAGCCGAATTTAAACAGCCATAACTTTTTGATGCTTGATCCAATACAGATGTGTTTTATATCATTCGAAAGCCCTCGATAAGCTCTATCTTTTACCCAACTGTATGGATCAGGTCTGATCACTCATAAAAAAGTTACAAGTCGATAAATGCAAGAAATCATTGTTTTTCACTATTATCGGTGCATAAATTTTTTGAGTGATCAGATCTGATCCATACAATCAAGTAAAAGATAGAGCTTATCGAGAGCTTTCAAATGATATAAAATTCATCTGTATTGGGTCAAGCATCAAACATTTATAGCTGTTCAAATTCGGCTGTTACTCAGGTTGCTGTCACTGTTAATTTGTCACTGCTGTCACTCGATTAACGGAAAAGTACCAAAAATAAATTTACTTCAAAAATAAGATCATAAAGCCGTGACATCTCAAAATTTCTTAAACTTTTTAAACAAAATTGAGGTAATTTATTGCCTTCATTTGTCAAAATATTGAATAAAATATCTATTTGTTGCTCAGAAGTATTCTCCTCGAAATAATCAACACTAAGAGAATCAGAAATTGATAAATGATTTAAAGCGAATCTCAAAACATTTTCTAATTTATAAGTAAATTTGTTAACGTCTAGAGAAGGTTTTTGAATATGAAATTGAAGTGGAACTGGTTTGTCGTTATCAAATAATAAATTAATCATTTCTGGATTAAAAACATTTTGGAAATCGGTATATTCGTAGAAACACTTAAATAGTCGTTCTAGCCAACATCGAACAATAGACATTTCTTTCAAGTTTTTTGGAAAGTTTGGCAATTTTAAAATATAATGCCGAAGTTTCTTTTTCTTTAAATCAAAATATGTTTTGTCCAAATTAACAGCAAATAGATGTGTCTCTTCAGAATCTTTTAAATACAAAGGAAGTGATTTAGCTATCGCTGCTTGCCACTAAAATAATAAATATAATTTAACAAAATAACGATACACCAAGTCCCGGACCCTATAACTTATAAAGGGATTGTCACTTTTTTTGCTCTTGGTACCATTGGATAGGGCATTGAATAGGCTACAATATACCAAAAAATCAAAATCCCTGCCCGACTGGTAAAAAAGTTATGATCGATAAAGTGCCGAAAAATCAGATTTTTTTGAAAAAGTTAGTTTTTAGTACATAACTTTTTTTATAAATGAATCGAAAATTTTGATTTTTTGGTAAAATGTAGTCCATCCAATTCTCTATCAAATGGAACCAAGATCATTAAAAATTATCAACCCGTACTTGAGTTATAGAGCCGGGACTTAGCTGAACTGCTCCGACCAAATAAAAATTAAATACACCTTCTCTTTAAGTTGATCATTTAAAATAAATTTAGAAACTACAGATTCAAGGGGAATAATTTCAAAAATATTTGATTGATTAATATTGCCATCAAAAATCTGGAATAAATTAAAAATACAAGGGGTTTAAAAATTTACAATGTTAAGTTTATTGAATTTCAAACGAGCCAATTGATCTTCATATTCATCAACAAAATTATTGAAATAACGACTGGTTTGTCGAACAGATAATAATTGACCAAAATTAACACATTTTAATATATCAAGTTGAACTTCGGGTGGTAAAGAATTCATTTTTTAAATTTTATCTTAAAGAGAAAAATAGAAACTAAATTTTATCATTTAAATTTATTATTCATAAAAAAATCGCAGTTTTTTTGTGGAAACTGAGTGACTAAATTAAGGAGAGTAAAAGCGTATCAGACAAAATTTTAACAAAAAATACCCCGTCCCGAAAATGTTTTCGGGGGTTTCGGGGTATAAACCCATAAAATACCATATTTTGAGAAATTTAAAGGAAAAAAATTCAGAAAATTTCTTCCAAATTTACTTGGAAGTAAAGATGAAAGAAATATCAAAATTATCTTTGAATTTTCTCATAAGAGCTTGTGATTGAGTGGTTAAGTTGTTAGTCTTTGCTTATATCTATTCTATCTAAATGGGTTGTGTCTAATCTAAAGTATGCACTAATTCTAATTCCTTTTACTAGCAGCATCCATATTTGCCATACAAGGAAACCATCGGGGGGTTAGAGGAATATCGTGGATATTTAGTGATTAATCCGCAGATATCTCCTGATATCTATCCAAAAATGATCCATATTCATTAATAAAATTTTTGTAATAAATATTTGTTTGTTGAATATTTAATAATTGACCCGAATTATTAATCGAATCGAAAGGCCAACAAATAAGTTTAAAGATTAATAAAATGCTCTATCAACAGAGCTAACGAGCGAAAACTTTGATTTATTTATTTTATTTATTTACACACAAGGGTGTGAATGACAAAAATCGTCGTTTTAAATGCTTTCTAATGAATCATCCTTACACTATTTAGTGGTTTTATCTTTTACAATTAAATGTTGACATCGATACTTTTACAGATTGGAATAATTTTTTCTATACTAATACTTAGGTTGTGTCATAAATAATTAGCCCCCCTTAAGCAAAGTTAAATAAATATTTATTAAAATTGAACTAAATGTTTTCAGACTTCGAATTATATTTTTCTATGATCCTAAGAGAGTTGCCTATTTTCTGGCAAAAAATCAGAATCCTAGGATTAGGCTGGCCGGAGTTAGAGGTAAAATACTAAAACGTATATTTTTGAAACAAGGCAAATTCTTTATGATTTTTCTTTTCAAAATTGATGAGTAAGAATGAAAATTTAAATAGATTCTGATAGGGCAGAATAAGGTTGGCGGAGCCGGATATCCGGATCCGTAAAAGGCCGGATATCCGAAATTCTCGGTTCGGATATCGGTTCCGGATCCGGATATCCGAAATTTTCGGTTCGGAGCTAGGATCCGGATATCCGAAGATTTCCGACTATCCGCCAACCTTAATGGAAACAATATGTAAATTAACTAGAGAGTATTCTTGATTTCGTAAATTGATACGATTTTAGCGATGCTATTCTCATTTTGTTAAATCTTGTAATAAAAATATTTTTAACTGTTTATTTTTCGGTTTATGTATATGGTCCTATGTATAAGTTACAAAAGAGGTGCTGGAAATCGTAAAGAAATCGCAGTTTTTCATGGAAACTGAGAGATTAAATTATGGAGAGTAAAAGTGTATTAAACAGAATTTTAACAAAATAAAATTCCGTTACATTTTATAAGGGGGAGTTTTCATTAAAACGGGGAGTTTACATCATTGACCCTTCAAATATTTTACTCCGAAAAATAATATTGAAAAAGTATGTCAATTAAGAGGTAATAAGGCAGAATAAAATGAAAGATTAATTGTCAGGGAAAATTGAACTTTCAAATCAGCAATAAAATAGAGTTGCATCCTGATACATAGCTGGCCATCTTCCTTTTTAAAATGCAGGGAAAATTTTGGGAATTTTGGAGCTCTAACGAAAAAAATTGAAAAATGAGATAAAATGGAAGTAATAGAATTATAAATTTATTTTTAAAATTAAATTAATTAAAGTATTAAAATATAAAAAACTACATTAACAACTCGTTGTGACCAAGGCTGGACGCAACTGATAAAAAAATTTTCGCAGCCGCATTCCGCAAGTCAAAAAACACACAATTCCACGCAATCCGCAGTCCGAGATCCGCAGTCCGAGATCCGCAGTTGCGTCCAGCCCTGGTTGTGACAACTAATTTACTTATTTTAAATACATTTCCGGCCATTGTTGATCTTTAAGGCTGCATACAACATTTCTTAATATTTATTAAGAAATATTTTTTAAAGGGCATCATAAGATTGATTCCCAAAATAAAAATTTTTTACTCTCGCTTTTTTCTCTAATAAATAAAAAATTTTGCCCTTTTAAAATTTTTCTTTAATTTTTTATTTATGTAAATAATTAAAAAAATTTTTTATAATTAATTTAAGAAGTCAAAAGTTTTTACATTTTCCCGCAATTTACATTTTAAAATCCGCAAACGCAATCCGCAAGTCAAAAAAAACACGCAATTTCACGCAATCCGCAATTGCGTCCATCCCTGGATTTGCGTTTGGATCCATCCTTTTTGGATCCATCCTGCAATCGCGTCCATCCATCCATCCTCACCAAAAAACTGAAAATTATTTTCCGTATTATTTTTCAACATTTGCAGTTTTTTTCGATTTTCCAGGTTCTTTTTCTTTCAGTTTCTAAAATTTTGAACTTTCTCGATTTACGATTTTCAAAAATTATACAGTTAATAATAATCAGAGAGAGTTTTTTAGGGTTTTCCTAAATTGCCACTTTTTGAATTTTTTCAACCTATTTAAGTACATATTATTAGTTTTTTTGAACCTAAAAAACTCTCTGATAATAATATTAAATTTTATTAATATTAACAATTTACAATAATTATGTGTTTGATAGAGTTTGAATTTTTTATGTGATATTTTGAATAATTTAACATCAAATCTAAGTTAATTTTTACTGTTTCTGTTGACTCATCGATATACCTTATTACCTTATTAACCTTATTAATCAACCCTTATTAATCAAAAATAAATTTATTTAAATAAATTTACCGTATTTCCGCTAATAGAGCCTCACCCTCTAATACATATATAGCCCCAGTCTGAAGGATAGTTGAAATATACAGCCCCATGGGGTAGTATTAGAGGTTTTATTTACTTATTTACACAAAAATCACAGGCACAAATTTGTACATAAATAAACTTTAACAATTTTAACACTTAAATTTATTCAAATAGACTAATTAATCAATCTGCGCGGCTATATTCCCTCTAAAATATTACTCCTTTTAAAGCATGGGCGAGCGTTAGTCTACGTGTGACTAACGCTCGCCCTTTACAAAGCCTCTTTCTTAATTAAGCCTCTCATTAATGCTATTCACTCTTAATTTTAAAATTTTCTTTTTTTAGCCTGTCTTATTATTTTATTAAAATTTATAAAGAAAAATAAAATTATTAAAATTTTTATAAAATAAAATTTAAATAAATTAAGAAAACTTTTTCTAAAACATTTTTGTTTTTGATTGCGATGCTTTTACAAAAAATCCTTTGGATTTTTATTTTATTTTTATTAATTTTGAATTATGCTGAAGGAGTAGATGGTAAGAAAAAGGGAGAAAATGTTGAAGGAAGTGGGGTGAAAAAGCAGAAGGAAAAAGTTGAAGAAAGTGTTGGGAAACATAAATTGATAAATCCGGCATTTTCCCAATCAAAAAGCAAAGGACAGCCTAAGATGGAATCTTCGACTACTTCAAATTTCCATCAGACAAATCCCCAAAGTTTTCAAAGCATAAATATCGGTGGAACGAAGACAGGCAAATTGATATTTAATTTATTGGACATATAAAACGTTAAATAAAATTTTTAGCTTCCTCAATTCCTCACAATTTACCAGGTAAGAAAAAGTGGATTGTATGTTTAAAGTCTCGGAAATTTTAATTTTACTTATACTCTTAATTCACCAATCCCTACATTTGGCCTCCTATGTTGTGTAGTTTTTGAGAATTTGCATACATTAATAGGGATTTGAGGTGATATTGGGGATTTTGACTCGCAACAAGCTCAGAGTCGGAACATCTATTCACTACATTCGTACAACCCTCGGACATAATATCCTATGAATTTTGGAACTAATTACTTAAAAGAATAGTAAAGCAGCTGGGCTATAGCTATACCTCTTCTTTAGCTATTGCAAAAGGTTATTCGGCGGCTGGGACATCTTCAGTAGACCGGACTGATGTGTTAGCCATTACACCACGCCGCCTACTGCATAGCCTTAGGAAATTAATAGCT